CTTGATTTGGCTCTCTTTAAGTCTGTTATTGGTGTATAGGAATGCTTGTGATTTTTGCACATTGATTTTGTATCCTGAGACTTTGCTGAAGTTGCTTATCAGTTTCAGGAGATATTGGGCTGAGACGATGGGTTCTTCTAAATATACAATCGTGTTGTCTGCAAATAGAGACAATTTGACTTCCTCCTTTCCTATTTGAATATGCTTTATTTCTTTTTCTTGCCTGATTACTCTGGCTAGAACTTCCAATACTATATTGAATAGGAGTGGTGAGAGATGGCATCCTTGTCTTGTGCCAGATTTCAAAGAGAATGCTTCCAGTTTTTGCCCATTCAGTATGATATTGGCTGTTGGTTTGTCATTAATAGCTTTTATAATTTTGAGATACGTTCCATCAATACCTAGTTTATTGAGGGTTTTTAGCATAAAGCACTGTTGAATTTTGTCAAAGGCCTTCTCTGCATCTGTTGAGATAATCATATGGTTTTTGTCTTTGGTTCTGTTCATGTGGTGAATTTGTTTATAGACTTGCGTATGTTGAACCAGCCTTGCATCCCTGGGATGAAGTCTACTCGATTGTGATGGATAAGCTTTTTGATGTGCTGTTGTAATCGGCTTGCCAGTATTTTATTGAAGATTTTTGCAACTATGTTCGTCATGGATAGTGGCCTGAAGTTTTCTTTTCTTGTTGAGTCTGTGCTGGGTTTTGGAATCAGGATGATGTTGGTCTCATAAAATGATTTGGGAAGGATTCCCTCTTTTTGTATTGTTTGGAATAGTTTCAGAAGGAATGGTACCAGCTCCTCTTTGTATGTCTGGTAGAATTCGGCTGTGAACCCATCTGGACGTGGGCTTTTTTTGGTGGGTAGGCTATTAATTGCTGTCTCAATTTCAGACCTTGTTATTGGTCTATTCAGGGTTTCAACTTCTTCCTGGTTTAGGCTTGGGAGGAGGCAGGTGCCCAGGAATTTATCCATTTCTTCCAGGTTTACTGGTTTATGTGCATAGAGTTGTTTGTAGTAATCTGTGGTGATATCCCCTTTATCAGTTTTTATTGCATCTATTTGATTATTCTTTCTTTTCTTTTTTATTATTGTGGTTAGTGGTTTGTCTATTTTGTTGATCTTTTCAAAAAACCAACCCTGGATTTATTAATTTTTTGGAGTTTTTTTCTGTCTTCATCTCCTTCAGTTCTGCTCTGATCTTAGTTATTTCTTGTCTTCTACTAAGTTTTGAGGTTTTTTTGACTTTGCTTCTGTAGCTCTTTCAATTTTGATGATAGGGTGTCAATTTTAGATCTTTCCTTGCTTTTCATGTGGACATTTTTGCTATAAATTTTCCTCTAGATACTGCTTTAAATGTGTCCCAGAGATTCTGGTACATTGTGTCTTCATTCCAGTTGGTTTTGAAGAACATCTTTATTTCTGCCTTCATTCATTGTTTATCCAGTCAACATTCAAGAGCCAGTTGTTCAGTTGCCATGAAGTTGTGTGGTTCTGAGTTAGTTTCTGAATTCTGAGTTCTAACTTGATTGCACTGTGGTCTGAGAGACTGTTAACGATTTCCATTCTTTTGTGTTTGCTGAGGAGTGATTTCCTTCCACTTATGTGGTCAATTTTAGAGTAGGTGTGATGTGGTGCTGAGAAGAATGTATATTCTGTGGATTTGGGGTGGAGAGTTCTGTAAATGTCTATTAGGTTTGCTTGGTCCAGGTCTGAGTTCAAATCCTGGATATCCTTGTTAATTTTCTGTCTCATTGATCTGTCTAATATTGACAGTGGAGTGTTAAAGTCTCCCACTATTATTGTGTGGGAGTCTAAGTTGCTTTGTAAGTCATTAAGAACTTGCTTTATGTATCTGGGTGCTCCTGTATTGGATGAGTGTATACTTGGATCATTAGCTCTTCTTGTTGCATCGATCCTTTTACCATTATGTAATGTCCTTCTTTGTCTCTTTCAATTTTTGTTGATTTAAGGTCTATTTCATCAGAGACTCGGACTGCAACTCCTGCTTTTTTTTGCCCTCCATTTGCTTGGTAAATATTCCTCCATCCCTTTATTTTGAGCCTATGTGTATCCTTGCATGTGAGATGGGTTTCCTGGATACAGCACACGGATGGGTTTTGGCTTTTTATCCAATTAGCCAGTCTGTGTGTTTTAATTGGGGCATTTAGGCCATTTACATTTAAGGTTAATATTGTTATGTGTGAATTTGATCCTGCCATTTTGATGCTAGCTGGTTGTTTTGCCTGTTAGTTGATGCAGTTTCTTCATTGTGTTGATGCTCTTTACCATTTGGTACATTTTTGGAGTCACTGGTACTGGTTGTTCCTTTCTATGTTTAGTGCTTCTTTCAGTAGCTCTTGTAAGGCAGGTCTGGTGGTGATGAAATCTCTGAGTAATTGCTTGTTCATAAAGGATTTTATTTCTCCTTTGCTTATGAAACTTAGTTTGGCTGGATATGAAATCCTAGGTTGAAATTTCTTTTCTTTAAGGGTGTTAAATATTGGCTCCATTCTCTCCTGGCTTGTAGGATTTCTGCTGAGAGAACCACTGTGAGTCTGATGGGCTTCCCTTTGTGGGTGACCCGATCTTTCTTTCTGGCTGCCCTTAACATTTTTTCCTTCATTTCAACCCTGGTGAATTTGATGATTATGCGCCTTGGGTTTGCTCTTCTTGAGGAATATCTTTGTGGTGTTCTCTCTATTTCCTGGACTTGAATATTGGCCTGCCTTGCTAGGTTGGGGAAGATTTCCTGGATAATATCCTGAAGAGTGTTTCCCAGTTTGGATTCATTCTCTCTGTCACATTCAGGTACACCTATCAAACATAGATGATGTCTTTTCACATAATCCCATATTTCTGGGAGGCTTTGTTCGTTTCTTTTTACTCTTTTTTCCTCTAATCTTGCCTTCTTGTTTTATTTCATTGAGTTGATCTTTGACCTCTGATATCCTTTCTTCTGTTTGGTCAATTTGGCTATTGAACGTTGTGTTGCTTTGTGAAGTTCTTGGGTTGTGTTTTTCAGCTCCATCAATTCATTTATCTTCCTTTCTAAGCTGTTTATTCTCATCAGCATTTCATCAAACCTCTTTTCAATGTTCTTAGTTTCTTTGTATTGGGTTAGAACATGTTCTTTTAGCTCAGAGAAGTTTCTTATTACCCACCTTCTGAAGTTTGTTTCTGTTAATTCATCAGACTCATTCTCCAT